AAGCCCCAGTCTTTGCCTTTATAGCCAGGTGCTCCAACCACCAATCTATACCTGCTCAAGTTGACTTAAGCCTCACTTGCATAAAGCAGCTAAAACATAAGGCAGGACCAAGAAAAAAAGACATATTGGAAAAAGCTCAAAACAACTTGCAGCTGGGGAAAAGACACATTTCAAATCAGCACCTAGAAGGCTCAGGCCCGGGGACCTCACACCCTACTAGGGGAAGATCAACCCACAAGACAGGAACCACGCAAAGAAAGCCTGTTTCTGCATTCCCACCAAAAGGAAATCTTGAGGTTGGAACTCAGAAAGCAGAGGTCTCCTCCAAAAACCTAAGCAGCAGGGTGTAGATAGCCATCTATTAGGATTGCTTTACCTGTGGATTCCTGCACTGATGGGCTGGACTAAATCAGTGGTTCTTAACCTTTGTTACTTGGATGCTTTTGAACTGCAACTCCCAGAAACCCCAGTCAGGACAGCTGGTGGTGAAGGCTTCTGGGAGTTGCAGTCCAAAACTCCTGAGTAACCCAAGGTTAAGAACCAGTGGACTAAATGACTGTCCAGGACCCTCTCCAACCCCGCAGTTCTATCATTCTTTGAGCCAAGGCAGGGAGCCATTTCATTCCTACCTGTTTGTCACTGTTCACATCTCCCAGGGTGTGTGGATGGAGGAAAGAGGACGAAAAAGCTAAAGACTTAAGACACCTAGAATCCTTCTTAGGGCATTCTGGAAAGAGTAATCTGAAGACAAAAGCTTCCAAAGCCTGGGGGTGGGGCAGGGATTGGGGAGAGGCACCCCCCAGATGCTGTTGGACTACAGGTTCTATTACCCCAAAGCATCCCAACCACAGTTGATTCAATTGCCCAACTGGATAGGAGATGTATTCAGGTTTCGCACGGCATTTATATATTTAAAATATTTTTTACCCTACTTTTCTCCTTAAAAGGACCCAAGGCGGCATCGGTTCCCTTTCTGGTCTGCCTGATTCCTCTGCCGTTCCCTTATATTGCTGTTGCTTCCTTTCGGAGCTCATGCTTAATCTCCCCATTCCTCAGGGCCAAAGGGTTCCTCCGATGCCTTTCGGCAGGGACAGATCCAGGAGGCAGAGATTCTTACTGAGAGTGGCAGCCCGCTCGGTCTTCTTCTCCCATCCCTCCAGGGCACAATCCATGGCTTCCACACTCCAAGAGCTAGACAATTGCTAATTCCTTCCAAATCACCACCTAGGGGCATACATGGCGCGGAACATCTCCCATGAGAGCCAGGCAGCTGGTCTCGGGTAGCAATTCAAGTATTTTGCTTCGCCTCTCCAAGAAGACAGCAAGAAAACACAGTCTGTGCACATAATCACAACAGGGAAATCGGGGCTTATTTAGCGCTTAATTAGGGAGCATAGTTTCGGCTTAATTATTCTGGGGCTGGAAGCCATGATCCTTCTCCAGAGAAGGAGGCAGTGTGCCCCAAAAGACAAGGCTGTTCCATTGCTTCCCCAAAGCAGGGGGGAACTTGGGTGTCCAAAGCTTTGCCTTCCACCACCACTCCCCACCACCATATACTTGGAGCAAACACAACCTCTGGCTCCCTCCCAACTCCAGGCAAACGCTCCTCAATGCCTGGCCTGCTCTGGCCAAACAGGTGTTGCAGGTGACTGGCACAAAAGCCTGCTGAACCTGTTAATGGGAAATAAAATTGGAAAAGATGCGCAGCTCACAAGCTGTATTCAAACTGTCTTTCTGATGTTTCTTGAGAGACCAACCGCCTGACTTTAGGCTTACTCCGCATGCCCCCTGATCAATTCACAATCTGGTAGACAGACTGGGGACATTTTAGTCCAAACGTGGAGGCAAAAGATGCAATTGTGACTCCACAAAGCTTTCTGTCTGAGCTGGCAGACTTACAAAGTGAAGCCCATGTTTACCCCTCAGTGACCAATCAGAAAAGGTAAAGGTTCCCCTTGACAATTTTTGTCCAGTCGTGTTCTACTCTAGGGGGCGGTGCTCATTCTCGTTTCCAAGCCATAGAGCCAGCGTTTGTCCGAAGACAATCTTCCATGGTCAAAAGGCCAGGGCAACTTAGACATAGAATGCTGTTACCTTCCCACCGAGGTGGTCCCTATTTATCTACTTGCATTTGCATGCTTTCAAACCGCTAGGTTGGCGGGAGCTGGGACAAGCGACGGGTGCTCACTCCATCGCGTGGCTTCAAACTTACAGCTGCAGATCTACAGATCTTACAGCACAGAGGCTACAGCGGTTTAACCTGCAGTGCCCCCACGTCCCCTGACCAATCAGAAAAGAAGCAGTTTAATCGGCAAAAACAGGGAAGCAAGAAAGGATGATCAGATGTCTCTTGTGATTTAAGGAACTCCAGCTTCTGTTAATGTGCTATCTGTAATGTACAATTGGACTCCCCAACAGAAACATTCACTGAGCAGGTCCTGCTTTATTTGGCTGAAGGAAAAGTGCTGTTTGCAACCCATACCACCATGTTTAAACATTTCATTGCTAGGGACCATTGCACAGAGTTAAACTATAAAACCTGAGGTGTAATCGTTTAAAGTGAACAAGAACACTAACTGCAATTACAGCACATTGCAAAATAAAATAAAATACAGTACATTGGTTTTTAGAAAAGGAAAGAATAGACATTGGATGTTCTAGATCAGCCATTCTCAGCATTTTTTTGCCACAGCCATAAGCACCATATGAAAGAAATATAGGCTGAATCAGGATTGTATAAGTCGCATGGCGAACTTGATAAGGTGGCGCGTGCAGAATTGTTTCCAGTCTGTCGTCCTCTTCAAATGTGCCAGGACACCTACCCCTCCGGGGGTCGCCATTGAAAATGGCTGCTCTAGATTTCTCCAGTCCTAATCAGAGGTTAGAAAACTTACTTTTTGGCTTACATTTCCTAAAGTCGCCAGCCAGCCACAGCTCCCAGAATCTGCCTGTGGATTCTGCCATTTGTGGTCCACCTAAGTAGTGTTCCCAAATTCTCCCCTGACACCTCGTGACTTTCAAGGTGCCCTGGGATTCTGTGCTAGGTTGGCCACAACAAGAGACAGAGACAGCTATTGCTTTGAAAACTGCTTCCTGATCAAGCCACCTTGGCCAGACACAACACACACACAAAGATCAGATTGAACCTAAGGCATCCAGTGCCTGCACGCTGCAGGCATGTCTTTCTTACTGTCCATCATCAGAGGAATTGGGGGAAAGAGACAAAAACAGGCCCATCTCCTGAAAGTACGGAAGTAAAGGAAGCAAGAAAGTGCTGCAAAAGCAAGAGTGGACCAAGGCATTTTGCCACCTGAGGCAAAGCAACAAATGCTACATCCACACTACCGCCGGAGACACAGAATCCCCAGAGCTGATCAAGTTACTCTGGTCCTTGAGGTGGTAAAATTCCACAAGGCCTTCTCTACCCTCCCGCCCTGAACCTGATGAACATCTCATTGATTTCAATGGGTCTACCGTAAGTATAGCTAAATACAGACCCAGCCCAATCAATTAATAAGTATTGGTTGACTCTCTGTGGCTCCATCCTCCTTCTCGGTCAGTGGCAGCGGCTTTGCTCTGCCTTGTGGTAGGACCAGGTAGGCATAAAAGGTAACCACGAACAGGCAGCGTTCCAAGTTATCTTTTAATATGGTTGCACGAATGTGGGAGCAGAAGTAACTTTTACTGGGTTCAGTGGTTCTTCTTCCTAAAAGTGTGAGGAAGATTGCCAATATCACAGCATTGGTTTGTGCTGGGTACACCCTGCACACACTCTGTTCCCATAAGATCTCTTATGAGACCATCCTGAAGATGATGGTTCACCTCTGCGCAGATCAATTCTCTGCCACACGGGAGCTGCTGCAATGCTTTCGGGAAAGCCTTACTGGGTCCCTTCGACTTCACTGAGGATGCAGTCTGCTTAGAGGCACTCTTTTATTAAACCCCATGCATCAGAGGGGAAAAAATAAGCATTAAACTCCACATCCACATAAATTTCTGGGGGGAGATGAATGTCTTAGACTATGGCATTCCATCCAGGAGAGTAGCTGGCCTGGCAGTACCCCCTATCAGTAAAGGTAAAGGTTTTACCTTTACCTTTACCCGCTATCAGATCCTGCCAGCTCAGAGGGAAGACCCCCCCCCACCTTCCAGAATCCACCTGCATTTGGAAAGCAAAGCTAGCATCCAGCAACCCTCTTCCAAAAAACAAACCAACAGCCCAATCCTTGGCTGAGCAACCTGTTTCAGGAGGAGGGAGATTACCCCTCCTTCCTGTATTTTGTGTATTTTCAGAGGCGCTGGGGTGGGGCGGGGAAGTGACTCTTGGGTCTTCTGTTTTTAAACTCCCACCTTGGAGGAAGCGCCCACTCTTCCCCAGTTGAGGTCTCTCCCCTCTCTATAGTAACAACCATCCCTTAAAGGGACCGGGGGGGGGCATTGTATACATAACCTTTGGTCCCACCGGGCTGCAGGTACCCAAGGACTAGCGAGCGTCCCCGACCCCCTCTCACCCAACCCCCATCAGGCAACCATCTCCCCTACCCCAAACCCATCAACAGGGCACTCCCTAAAAGACACATTAGGGGTGGAGGGCATCATCTTTTTAACCCTCTTCTTCCCCCCCCCTTCAACCTGTGCCTTGATCCTCCTTCAAGGCACCTCCGTCTTTGGGGAGGGGGCATGCTCTGCGTCCCCCCACCCCGTTCCCCGGGCTTCCGTACCCAGACCTAGAGAGGGACCCCATTCTACACAGGAAGCCAAGGGAAGAGGGAGGGTGCCTGCTTTGCGCGACCCCCCCAATCTCCCCAGTGCCGCGCCCGGGGACTCCCCTTCTGCCTCCCCAGGGGCGCCCTCGCCCTCCCTCGAAGGGGCGTCCACCCGGCTGCGAAAAGAGCCGGTGCCTCCCTGTCCCCCTTCCCTTCCTTGGCTACCCCTCGCTCAATCCCAAGCAGGCGTCTCCCCTTCCCTTCTTCCCTTCCCCTGCGCGGGCGTGCGCTCACCGTGCGCAGCTCCTGCGTCCGATCCTTCATCGCCGCTCCTTCCCTGCGCTCCGGGTGCTAGCGGCCGCCGCGATCCGGGCACGGGCGGCCAGGGAGCGGGAGGGGAGAAGCGGGCGGCGGCACATGCGCTGGAGCGGGCGAGGGAGAGCAGGCAGAAGCGGCCGCCCTCTTGCCTGCCTCTTCTCTACCCACGCGGGGATGCCGCCCGCGGGGGTGCGGGTGGGGGGACTTCCAGGCGTCTTCCACAGCAGAGAAGGGGCTGGGATAACACTCCCTAAGTCTTGTGATTCTGTGCAAACCCCCCCCCAAAAGGGTGGGGAAGCCCCTGGGGAACTCTTGGGAAATGAAGAAAAAAAACATCGCCAGCTTTCCAGCCACACGGAGCTCCTCGGCAGCCAGGGAGTTGCAAGGCTTCGATGGGGACGAGTGAGAAACAGAGAAAGAAAACCCCAAATCATCCTGGCTGCATCAAGAAGTTTCAGCCAAGTTCCTAAAGTGGAGGCTGCGGAGGAGAGAGGATAAGGGGGCAGCTAGGGACTGGCAGGGAGGGAGGGGACCTGACCAACCCCAAGCTGATGGAGGCAGTCCACGGGGCAGCGGAAGGATGGTTTCAGGGGGACGGCTTGGGGAGGAGGTCAGCGGGGCAATGGGGTCGCCTCAGCCCTCCTGGAGCCCCGTTGCACTCCAGACATGCTCAGAGAAGCAGGGCCAGGCCTGACTCTGCTGATCCCCTTGGGCCGGGTGGCAGGTGTCCGCTGAGGCTGGTGGAGTAGAAGGCATAGCAGATTGTGGGGGTGAGCAGAAGGAACAAAAAGGGCCTATGTACACAGGAGGTGCTCACACCCTTGGAAAGACACAAAACACATAACACAGAGAAGTCTGCATGGAAAGAAAACGGGAGTGCGCAGCGACAGCAGAAGTACAGTATAATCTAGCATTTACAGTGGGCATCAGGAAGCACATCTCAGTTGCCCTAAGGACTGGCCGCCACTGGCTGTAGTTTCTTTCTTCTCTCCTGATTTCCTCTCCGCTCCAGGCTACGAAGAGGAGAGGAGAGCCCTGGTCTGGGAGGAAGGCTCATTGGCATCAAAGTGCAATGGTTAGAATGCTAGCTGGACTCTGGAGTATTCTTGAACTCTGTCTTTATATCCTTCTCATTTACTTGAGAGAGCAATGGCTGTTACAACTAGCTAGCTAGCTAAATTGATTCATTCATTTTATTGTTTGCTTCTTCTCCAGCCTTCCAGATTTTGTTCCAAGTTTGGGTGAACTTGAAAGCTTGTCTTGTTTCCATCTTTTCAGCGATCTCACAAAGGGATTGCTCAGCCCAGAATCTTATTTCTACTCATGGGACACGCTGCCACCATGGTGTTTATTTTTTTAAAAGAAAATGAAGCATTTCACAGCAGAGAGATTGCAGTGCCTCCCGATCATGTACACAATCACCATGGGACAAGGGCTGGACTCAAAGATCCACAGGATCCCTTCTAGCTCTGTAATTCCAGGATTATGATGATGATCTAATTGTTAAAGGCACAACTACAGTGGCTGTTTGGGAAACTGGCAACCCAGCCCATGGATGAGGAAGGATGAACTGAACTGCCATCTTCTGGACAGGGAGAGTAGAAGCAAGAGCCTGCAAAAGCCAGGCAAACAAATTACGATAATTGCAGTATTTTGTTGTTTCTGCTCTTACACTATTCCCCCCCCTTATTTATTTATTCAGTCCATTTACACCCCTTTCTCCCACTTAGCTGTAAAAAAAGTCCCCAGAATTACTAACTAAATAAATTATAGTGATCTCTGCTGGCAGGCTTGAAACCTGAAACTGAAGACACAACACACAAGGAAGAAAAGATGTGGGGGGAGGATGAAAAAAGTCAGCAGAACCCCTACATCTTATACCAGGTAAGAGCAAAACCTAGACCAGCCTTCCTGATGTTTTCTATTAAGAAATCATATCAATAGTAGATGCAGTTAAGAAATCCAATCGGATTAGGTCCTTTATGTGTATGATATTTTGCTATTCTTACGATCATGTCACCTTCTGCATTTCTTGGGGCTCCTTTGTCCTAACTTTTGTTTTATGGAACACTCTTCTCTTCTCTGTATGGTAATATCTTTGCAATATCAGCATTGGGGCTCCTTTATATAATATCCTTGAAATGCTCATTGATCCCTATAGAGCCCACACACACACACTCTTCACAGGGCATCTAGAGAATTTCGTAACCCTATACTGTATCTTGGTTTTGCTGGGTTTTGGTTTATGGGTGGTCCCGTTACCGAGTCTCTCAGACTCCTTTGGAGTTCTGTTTAAATGAGGAAGGAGCCTGGAAAGCCCTTCCATCATCACTTCACTCTGTTCTCCTGCCTTTCTAATTCCGGGATCCCACACGCCCTGAGGTTCCACAGGCAAATTCTGTCTCCCAAATCTTCCAGCTTCAGCTGTATTTCTGCATTTGACTTGGAAAGGCTGGCACTTTTGTTTCGGTGACTAAGGCGCTATTCTAAGGGCTCCCTTGTTGTCTGTGAAATGATGAAACTATTCGTTTCTGCTTTCAAGTTTCCCTTGATTTTTCCAGGGGTCTTAATTCTTCTGCCCAATCCTCTATCACTGTTTGATGGTCTTGTTCTCTTGGCCCTCCAGATGTTCTTGGACTTCAACTCCCAGAAATCCTGGCCAGCAGAGGTGGTGGTGAAGGCTTCTGGGAGCTGTAGTCTAAGAACATCTGGAGGGCCAAGGTTGGACAAGCCTATTCTAGATCAAGCTGAGCTGCCACTTCTGCCATGATGCCTCATTGTGCTGAGTTCCAGCCTTTGGCTTGTTTGGGGCTTTTTCCTGCCAACAGAGACCCTCATCCCAAAATAGTTAGATGGGCATGCACACAGAAGAGTGGGTCAGGAGGAGGCAAGATATTCTGGGCTGCCTGATGTTGGCCTCTAGAGGGAGCCTGAAATTCATACCCTGCTGGTTTCTCTTTCTTTGAAGCCTAATTGTCTGCCTTTCCTTCAGTGGGGAACCCTGCAGGGGCACATCTGTGTGTCCCTGTGCTTTAAAACAGTGGCCCCCAACCTTGGGCTTCCAGATGTTCTTGGACTTCAACTCCCAGAAATCCTGGCCAGCAGAGGTGGTGGTGAAGGCTTCTGGGAGTTGTAGTTCAAGAACATCTGGAGGCCCAAAGTTGGGGACCACTGCTTTAAAAAGTCTGCTTACAAAGAAAACGGGCTTTTAGAAACACATGCACCACATTGGGTATGGTCCATCAGAAGGGCTGAATTGCTTTTGGGGCTACAGATTTCTAGGGACCATGCTGGATAAGCATCTGATGAGTTTCAGTCCAAAAAATTACTCCCCCCCCCCAAGGTTTGGGTTCAGCCTATTGTTTTAGGATTATTAGAATTTGCTGGGAGTGTGGGGGGGGGGCAAAATGGACCTCACGCTTCTTCTGGCAGTAGAAGAGAACAATCCCTAAAAGCTTGATCGTAAGCGAATGTCCCAGAAGGGAATTTCACTTCTCGAGACTAACAAATGTGCTTATTTTATTTTTTTAATCGAGCCTGCAGAACTTAAGCACAGGGTTCCTTTGAAGCCTGATGGCTCAAAACAGGAAACTGTTATCTGTAATACCTGTTTTCCCCCTGAGATCTCCTACCACCCTTTGTGGAGCTGTGCTGCCTTCAGTCCTGGAAGACCTGGCCCCAAAATTAGACACACAGTTGTGCCACCTCTTATTCCCTCTTCCTGATACCCAGTGATGAGAACAGCACACAACCCCCTGCTCTCAAATAACATCTGGGTCTGGCACACAGTCAGGCCAAGCCTACTTTGTCGACCTGTCCTCAGTAGTGCAACATCTTTCCCATGTACACAACTGCATCTGTGCCTGAGAAGAATATACCGTATTTTTCCATGTATATGACGCCCCCATGTATAAGACGCCCCCACTTTTCTAACCCAAAATTAAGAAATCTAAGTGGGGTTTAGCAAGTGTATGGGGAAAGGGATCAAAGTGCTGCAGGATTGCTTTGATCCCTGCTTTCCCCTCCACTTGTTTTTGTTCTCTCCTCAGCTTACTGAGACCCCCCCAATTTTTATTCTAAAGATTTTAGACAAAAGTATAGTCTTATACAGGGAAAAATACGGTACAGTTATACCCAAGTTCAGAGTTGAAGGAACTCCACCTTCTCCTGCATTCTCAGAGACAGTGTGGCCACAGGGCTTCTTCCAGCCAGACAGAAGAGGTTGATTTTAGCCCCAGTGATTTTTAAAATGTGCAGAGAGCTTTATAACAGTAACTCCTGGTGCCCTCAGAAACAACTTGGGTAACCCCCCAGCCCATTGCTGAAGACTTTCCATATCCCCTTTGCAATCTGACCCTTCCCTGCTCCTGGCTGGTTGTGCCCCTCCTGTGGGCACAGCTCACCATCTGTAGCCTTCCCCCACTCTGGCAGAGGCTGTGTGGGGTCCTGATACTAGATTTCTCTATTGTGGTGGTTATTTTTTTTATTCTTCCAAGGGGCCAGAGGAGGTACAGTACTGCTTTTTCAACCTTAATTCATGTTGCTGTGAGCTGGGTTGCTCTATAATCTTATTTTTGTCTTGTAATCTATGTTTCGTTGCTGGGGTGGGGGGTGTACATTAGCGCTGGGTAAACACGGCATATCGCTCGCTCCCTTTCACTGGCTCCCAGCAGCCTTCCGCTAAGGCAAACAAGTCTGTTTGGACAGCTCAGTGCCACCTCCGTGTCTGTACATGTGTCTGTTTGTGTGTGTAGGGGTGTCCTGTTCCAGCCCCCGACTAGCAATGAACATGGAGGAGATGCAAGAGAGCTTAAGCCACCAACCAACTGGGGTAAAACCCTGGGGTGCCCATGGGTTTTAACAGTGGTTTAATGGGTGATTTCCCCACCACAATCAATCCAACTAAACAGGTCTGATAGTTCATTCAACCTTTCCTTCTGTTTTCACAGCTGATGAAGTGGACGTGTCCACAAAAGTTTACATTAAAATATAAGAGTTAGTCTTTAAGATGCCACATTTTTGATTTTTTTCCTGTTTCTTTGGATTTTGCCTCAACACAGGACTGTGTTTCTTTGGAGAAGATCCAGCTGTTGATAAAGGCACAGCCGCAGGAGATGCAGAGAAAGTTGGCAAAACTCGCCCAAGAGGCATAAGGTAACGTGGCTGTCTGCAGCCACAGGAAAGGAATCCAGAGCTGGAAAACTAAGCCCCAGAAGGGTTAAAGATGCCTCTCTCTGGTCGTCAGGTCCTGCCAGCGCCTCCAGCATGCCAAGTGTTAATGTTTTCCTAGCGCTGTTTTGGATCCGTCCATCTCAAAGGCGGAGCTGCATCAGGTGGGGCTATAAAGGCCTCCCGCCTGGGCAAGGGCAGAGCAGGTGATGAAGGGACCGAGGCCGATGGGGCCGTGCTGACGTTGGGTGGGCAACGTTGCTGCTGCATCGCAAGGTACACATATGTGGGGCGACCATGCTGACGTTGGGTGGGCAACGTTGCTGCTCTGCAAGGTACACACATGTGGGGCGACCGGCCAGGACGGAGTGTCAGAGCCTGATGGTGGCGCTGGCAACAGCTGGCTTCCAAAGACAACCCTGGTTCCTACTGGTTTCCCCACCATGGCTATGGAACCCCAAATGGGCCCCAAACCCATCTCCGACTCAGATTCAGATTCGGACAGCCCCGTCTCCGGTGGTGGCAGGACTGGTGCAGGAGACCCCGCGAGTTCCCAAGTCATCCACAGTGGACACTTCATGGTGTCCTCTCCGCACAGCGATTTGGTGCTCCGTGGGCGCCATCAGCAGGCCCATCCTCCAAGCATCGACCTCACGCTGACACACCTCTTTGAGTGCATGAGCTTGGCTTACAGGTGAGTTTGTCTGAAACCACCCCTCTGTTCCTATCCACCTGTGGCTGAGCCTTTTTCCAGCCTGAAAGATAACCCCCCACACACACCAGCCAGAGAGGGACTTCTTGGAGCTGAAGGTAGTTTGGAGGATTCAGCAGTCACGAAACGAGGTGGGGAAACCTGTTGTCGTTCTGTGCTGCCAAATTGCTTCTGATATATTGTTGTGACTTGTAATAGGGTTTTTAAGGTGTGTGAGATGTTCACGGAGGGGTTTACCAGGGCCAACTTATAATGACTTTCCATGACCAGGTGGAAATTTGAACCCAGGTCTCTCTTCTGACACACTGTCCATTATATACTACACTTGCTCTTGTTGGGGGGTGGGAGCCTGAAGGGTTCCATGGATGTATGTGGAAACAGAGGGCTGGACTCAGGCAGGAAGCAATCCCAAGGAAACACAGGCTCAGCTAGGATCGAGAACAGAAACAGACAGAAAGTTATTCAAAAGGACCATGTCTTACCTGCAGAAAGCATCTGAGTAACAAAGTACGCACTCTTTCCTCACACCCCGTACTTTGCAATTCATGTTGTAATTGATCTTCAGGATCTAAGCATGCGATTCCTTCAAAGTCTTGTTTCTCAAACATGAAAGTCTACCGGAATAACAGCTCTCCAACACCAGAGTCAACTAGCAAGAGCCTGCTTCTTCCCCATAGGCTCTGGTGTCTCATGACATCAAAACAAGCCCTCCTTCTCTCCCTACTTCTTCTAACCAAATTTGAACTTTCATTGTGTTCTTAAAGTCTGATTTCAATCCTAGTCCGGTTTCTTGGAACTCCGTAAATCCCAGGTGGGAGGAAGGGTCAGCCTGGTTGGAGAAGACGTTCAGACCTCCAGCTGCTGTTGTGCATGCATGATTCAACTTCCCAACTGGTCTCCTCAAAACAATTCAGTCTTGTTCGGGGACTCTCTGCAAAAAAAGATGGGGGGAGCCCCAAAAAATCAATAGTCCATTCCCTCACTAAACAGGTTGACCCAAGTGCCTATAAGGAGCTTCACTTGAGGCATAGTGAGCCTGTAGTACTCCTTGCCACCAGATATTGGGATGACTATGGGTAGCAGCACGGATAAACACTCTGGCTGCTTCTTATCAGCAAGGAAGACCTTTACTCTCCCAAACCACTGAGCGACAGCAGGCAGGGCAGGGGGGGGTGTGTTTGTCAGGTGGCCGTGTCGCAGCCTGCTACTCCGGCAGATGAAAATCGTTTCCTTATGTCACTTTTAGGGAAAATGAAATTTAATTTAAAAAAAAAAACAGCTGCTGAAATTGGTTGCTAAGAAGCAAAAGTGGAGGAAGTGACAAACCACATGTCACCCTCTCCCCTTTTTAAATGGATTTCCGTTTTCAGCAATTCCAAGGCGGCTTTTATCGTCCTTTGCCTGGCAAACCCGAGAGGGCCAGCCCTGCTATAAGACAGAGTGTGTTGACTATCTCAGGCGGTGACTGCAAGATGCAGCCTCATCATCTCCCTGGCTGCTTGCTCTGGAGGCTGCCCCCTTTCCCTTCCTCCTGGAAGGTAGAGCCATGCATTTTCTATAGGGCCTATCCTGCAACCCCTAAACTAGTCTGCTGTCTTTAGGATCAGTGGAGGATGCGATCCTGCAGCCAGTGTTGGAGTTCAGTTTCTTGTCCTGGGGGCTTCTGTATGTTAAATGTGTGTGTGTGTGTGTGGGAGGGCAGGTTTCCTTTGATTCAGGCAGCAAAATAACTTGGGCTCATCCTAGATGTGAATATTATCATCTTCCATTTATAAGCCACCGGTGTTCCCACACCCATTATTCTGTATTTTCATTCATTTCCTAAGCCTTGCAGGGCAACTCAGAAAATTCCCCTCTTGCCTGGGGCTGTCTTGACGTCTGGACATGCTGTTCTTGAGTCTTATTTCCTTCGGCCAGTGGGGTGGCTTCAGGGCAGGCAGATCTGGGTACAGAAAGGCTGAAAGCCCTGCTTTGATGCCCATTGACCTTCTTTTGCTGTTCTCAGTCTCCCAACAAATGGCAGGGAGAGATCTTCTCTAGTCCTCTCTGAAGATGCTGCTGAAGTTCTCCGTGCAAAACAGGTGGATTATATGCCCCCTGTCCCTCGGTGGAGAAGGGCAGGTCTTCCAACAAAGCAGAGCCTCCATTTTTCAAAGCAGTGTATCTTTGACTAGTGACTACAGGGTGATGGAAGTGAGGAAAGGAATGGATGCTCTGCCTTCATACTCATCTTGTGCAGCTCCTGGAGGCACTTGACTGGTTTCTGGAGATCATGGCAGAATGGGATGGGGTTGTAGCACCCGTAGAGTTGACCCCAAAAGGCCATCTAGTCCAGCCCCCCATGCAGGAAATCCACAGCTCAATGGAGTGGATGAGAAGCACCTTGAACACATTGATTTCCAAAAGGGAGGAGCAGCACCTTCTCCTTGGGGGTAAAGTTTGGCCCCAATGAACACAATGATGCGGCCACATGATTGCTTCTCTTTTCTTCCCATCCAAATTCTCGCTTCAGTGAATTCACTTTGCTTTCTGCTGTGATGTTTACCCTGTGTCCCTGTGCATGTGCAAAATGTTTTTTTCTTCACTGCACTGTGCTGGCCAATGTTTCTAGGTTTCAAAAGAGCCCACAGTTTTGGGAGTCGAATCAGGCACCCTCTCATTTTGAATGGAGGATGGAGTGCTTTATAAAGCACCTTTCCCCCCGCCCAGCCACATCTGAAAAAAATTTACTGTCTCTCTTGATGGAACAAGAAAAGAAGTTCTCTATAACTGATATTGTTGATGATTTTATGTTTGTGGCCTCTGATCCAATTATTAACCCACTCATGCATGTATTTTCTGGTTTCTTGTCTTCAAGAGGAAGCCATAGGCCTCGCATAATTTCCTTAGTTTCCCCCAAATCGAAGCAAGTAAATGTGCATTTTGAGTCATGCTTGTTTGAGAAGGAAAATAATAGTTTCAAATATTTGATGACAGGCATGAACGTGCTGTGTACTTAATGAACAAAATACACAGTATCAAACATAAAAGCACATGCTGGGGGAAGTATGTTCCGAAATATACCCAAATTTCCACGTGGGAAGAACTTTGTATGTTATATAAAGACTGATTTCACATCCCTATTTTAGATTCAATGATGCAGACTCTCCAACAAAGGATACAAAATAAATAAAGTAAAAATAAATAAATGCTTGGCTTCAGCCTTCAGGAAAAAGGGTTAGGTTTAATTTCTCTTCAAGTTTTTCTTCACCCTCCTTTGGATTCACCTCATCTGATCAATTCCAGTTTTGACTTTGGGTCCTACTAGGACAATCCTTAGAATAAGAAGGTCATATTACTCATTTTATTCACAGCCATTTTTTAAAAAACCTTTTGTTTCTCCATTTAATGTGGCCTTTTGCCATAGGTGCTTCTTTTCTGATCTCTGAAACCGCCATAAATGTTTTTTTTCCTCGGGTTGCATTGTCAGAACCCCTCGATTCAGTCCTCACAAAGGTCATTCCTAATCCTATACTTAATTACAGCAAAGAATTTTCTACTTTTTACCTCAGCTATTACTGCTAACTCCTTATTTATCTGTGGCACCTTAGTAAACCTTAACTCACACATCACCTCCTCAGTCTCCTTTTAATATCTTCATGTTTCTCTGGGTTTAAGTCTTTACTTTGCTTTCACCCAGAGCTTTTGTGGCTTGAGACATTGAAATTTATAGTGTCTTTTCTTTCCACAGCCAAAACACCCCTTTTTCCTTCTAGGAGTTAATGCCAGTTTAATAGTTTTTTCCTCAGGGTGAAATCTTTTTGACCCTTCATTCGGTGTAGGAGTAACAATTCTTTTATTTTCTTCATCCTGAGGCACAGCTTTTGCTGTTGTTGTTTTTAATGGTTTAGAAATAAGGATGAAGGATGAGCTGATTTAGGATATTCAGCTGCCTTTTTAACAGACCCAAGAATGTTGTCTTTAGCCAACAACTTAATCTCTCTTGGAAGCTGAAAGAGAAACCAATCTAGAAATCCTCAGATCTTGAAGTTTCTCTCTGCTGTAAGCCTCAGCTCCAGAGACCCTTCCCCCCCTCAGAAAATGCCCCTTAATTTAGAGTTATATCCAATAAACAATCAATCTGAGCATGGCTGAAGAGTTCTGAATTTCTTTGGGGGAAAAAAACTAGACCTAGGTAGTTTAAATCGAACAAATGCTGCAGTTTTAAATTCTTCATAAGATCCATCCTTCTCTATAAATTTGGGAATAACTCCACATCATCTGCTTTATTCTCTCCCCAGTTTCTAGCAGCTTTTTGAATAATGGCTTGAAAAATCTGAGGGTTATAATTTGTGAAATCTGCAGGAGTTGCTCTGGAATTTAAGTTCTCCTCAGATTTTTCTCAATTCTTTTTCATGCTCTGTTTTTCTCCCTTGAGATTTGATCCTCACCATCTCCAATTCTCCCTCTCTATCTCTTAGAATCATTCCCCTTTCTCTCTGTTCTCTTTCTTTGGCTTTTTCTGCCTGTTCAATCTGCATTTTCACAACTTCCATCTGAGAGGAACTGTGATCAGAACTTAAATTCACCGTTTGTTCAGGCCTCTCCTCTCCATCTGATGCTTCCTCTATTATTTTTATTTTTTTCCGCCTGCTGGCTTGGTGAAATGACCTCAAATGGGGGGGGGGGTTTCATTCTTCTGCTGTATTTCTCTCCCTTCATATGAGGCATTTGAACCTTTATTTAGAGTGTGCATGTATGTCTTTTTGTTTATGAACCCATTCATGGGTCTGCCTGGTACTTTTCTTCAATTTGAGTTGGTTTTCTTATAGTTGGAGCAGTTGCACACTTTTAGAAGAGTTAAGTTCCCCCACAATCCTTGTCTGAGGTAACTTTTTACCTCATTAAAAGCTTTATCTCCAAGGGCTAGTGAGAGAGAATGCCTCCTTTTGTTTCCCTCCTGTTCTTTTCTCTTTCATGATTCCCTTTTCCCTTGTTGTTCCTCCCAAAGGCTATTTAGCTTTTGGCTCCAGCCAGTTTTTGGATCTCGTAACCCAAGCCCTTGGATCTTGAAATTTAGAGAGATATCCTCAAGCTTGTATCTTCATGCTTGGATATCCCACCACTGCCACCACATTATGTGCTGGCTTTTCCACTAATATTCACACTAGCTGAGTCTTAGACTCCTCCAGCACCACTCAGGAACGTTTTCCTACCTAAAATCCTTTTTAGTGCATCTAGGGAAGGTGTGATGCCACAAAAACCTCCACCCCCAAAAAACATCTCCTGAAAAATTCAGAATTGCTTCTTTGATACTGCCTTGACCGGAGCCTCCTTGTCCCCAAGCAGATAATTCGGGTGCCCTGTGAAAGGGTTTCTCAGTGTCAATAAAACTCTGCATCCTTAATAGAAAAGCATAGCTCCCCATGATATGGGTGTATTTTGTTCATTAGCAGTCCGGGTTCCCTATTTGTTCCATGTGGGAAAGATTGGTGGAAAAAAACTTGATAGGATTTTTATTTGGGGACCATAAGTAATAGGTACGAAGGGAAAAGTTTATTCTTGGATGTAAGTGATAAGGGTATTAAGACAAACCCAGTAGGATTGAAATGTATTTCTTTTGTATTTAAAAGTACTGTATAGAATAATTATATAGCAGATTCTCATTCTTCCTCACACACACACACTTTGACTACTGTAGATTGACTTCTCTTCATTAATTCTGCCACAGACTCCCACTAACTCTAAGATAGATTTCTAACTCCCTTCTGCTCTCTGCTCGAACTCTGTCAAGTTGTGCGAACCAATCCGCTTCCAGCTACTCAGCTGCCAGTCACCACAGAACTCCGCCCACATCCATCCTCAATGCAGGCTTACGCACAAACCTGGTATATATAAACTACACAACGGTAAACCTACATAGTTGTAAACCTGCATTCTCCAAATGGGTGGAATTGACACAGGTGGTGCTTCTCGCTCTCTGCGCCCCAAGAAGCCACCTGCTTTTGTGGAGGGTGTATATCTGTACAACGTGACAATCCACCTTGCTGGGACCCCCTTGGCTTCCAGTTCGGTGCTGCCATGCCTAACTCTGCAGCCTCGCTTCCGACAGCCATGATCGGGGTGGCTTGTAAACGGCAGCTCTGTGTGACTGCCGATCCCTCTGAAAAGGATTTCTTTGGCTCATCGGCAGTTGGGTGGCCTTGGCCCCGGGGACGCTTGGCAGGAGGCCCGGGAGTAGCTGCCCCCCCGGGTTGAGTCACCAGCTTGGCATCGGTAGAGTGTTTGCTCTGGATCACTGCAAAGAGTCCAAATTCCCTCACAGGATGGGGTGTGCATGGGGTGGTGGCACTTTTGCACAGGGATTGCACAAGTGGCCCCTCTCCCTAGTTCCCACCCCAGGTTGGTTGAAACTTTTGGATTTTATCTCTCTTTGGCCTCGTGAGAGCCAGAGTGCCTTGAAGCATGTGCAGAGTCTTTTCCAGGAATAACCTCAACCAGCTCCCTTTGATAATCCCGCATGTCCAAAACACTTCACTTATCCATACTCAAGATTGCTCTCTTGAGTATTTTATATTTTTTTACAAACCTAGGCTTGCCCCCTCAAAATAGTCTGCAGCAGAGGGAGGTGAGATGGGAGACATCGGGGTAGTTTTCAAATCTAGTTTTTAAATCTTTTAAAAGCAGAACAGCCACTCAATTCCCCTTGGTGGTTGTTGTTCAGATATAATGAGTGCAAAATAACAGTTGTTTACAGCTTTCGGGGTAGGGGGGAGCAGGTTGCAGGAACAGTGAAGCATAAAACAATGTATGATTCATAGCATCATCAAGACAAATGCTTCCTGCCCAGGGCAGTAAGTTTTGTTCTTCAGAACTTGATACTAGCTTTCCCCTTATACCAGTCTCATTGAAATCTGTTTTCTGTCTTGCTGTGAGTCGCCCTGAGACTACATCATGGGAGTGGGAGGCTATAAATACAATTAATAAATAAGATCGTTATCCCTGGGTGTGCAAGGAAGAAGTTCTCACTGGCCTTTAAAAGCAGGAGAGGCTTGTGATTCAAGAAAGGGGAACACACACCCCAACATTGTGGGGTGACCCTGAGGATTTAGAATAAAAAATACCTGCCACTTCTATCAATGTCGTCATTCCAGCCTCACGCCAATCCTGTAAGGTTAGGCTAACATTGCAATCAGGCACCCCCAAATCATTTTGGTGGGCATGAATCCTGACCCGCCTGTACAAAGTCCGACACTTTCTCTACCCCACTGTTCTGAAAAATACAAATACAGTATGTATTTTTAAAATGAAGGCTTGGTCTGTGATTTCTTTGCCCGGTGCCGTCTTCTCTGTGGTCCTTGGCTGCTGTTTTCCTCCGGGTCTTTCCAGCCCAGCTGGTGTTTATTTGCTTTCCCATCTGTGAGATGACGAGCATGGATCTCTGCGCACACAGATGAGCGAAAAATGCGCGCTGCCCGATTAAGCCCCTGTGAGCTGCAGAACAAACAGCAGGTGGAAGCTTTTCCAGGCAACCTGGAGACAGGGAGAATGCAGGTTTTCCTGTTTCCCTCATCCTTGGTTCGGTGCTGTTCTCTTAGGCAGCAGGTTCTTAAGAAACAAGTTTCTAAATGCTGTTGAGTCAAAGCAAGCTGGTAATTACCGAAGGTGGGCTCTGTGTGTGGGAGAGCTGTGTTCGAATCCCAGCTTCCACTGCATTCCCCACCAGCATTTCACAAACCGAAACAGGCACTCTAATTTTCTCCTGCTTGCATTATTCGCCTGTTTCATATTGAGTTGCAGGGCTTTGATTTTTTCCCCCTTTGCAAGAAAATGTGTGCATCTTCTTCCTATGATTTTTTTTGTTAAGAGTTTTCATATGCACTTCTGGACAAGGTTTTCATATTGCATGATTCTTGCCTGTTTTTCAGACATTTCCTATCTAAAATGTATGCACTGTTCTGGGGATGCTTTGTTTCTCTGAAATCCACCTGGAATCTTGCCAACGTACAAATTTTAGAGTCAAAGAACAATGTACACGTATAACAGAAACAGAATAAAAACAGAAACATCGTGGTGCCTTAAAGAGGAATAGGTTTGTTTCAGTGTGAGCTTTGCAGAACATAATATGCCTCATGGCAAGGTTTTTAAACTGCAGTGCTGTGTTCAAGACTCTGCGCTTGACCTGAGTTCAATCAATACAGGCTCAGTTAACCAGCTCAAGGCTGACTCAGCCTTCCATCCTTCCGAGATTGGTGAATTGTGTGCCTAGCTCACCGGCACACAATTTACCATGTAAATTACATAATTCAATCGATTTGTAAACTGCTCAAAGAGGGCTTCAAACACTATGGGGGTGGTAGGTAAGCAGCACACTTTGCTTTTTGCCTTATAATCCATTTCACCAAGAAAATGGTCATAGATTACAATGCCTTGTAGCAATATGAAGTCAAAGGAGCCTGACTTTTTTTTTAAAAGGCAGCATCCTCATTTGTTTCATATGAAGTCAAAGGAGCCTGACTTTTTTTTAAGGCAGCATCCTCATTTGTTTCTTCTTGCATCAGTTCATCCGCTGCCTCCCCCTTGCTTCGTGTCCTTTTTTATTTTTATTTTTTGCTTGACATTTTAGTGGGAAGCTGGTGTCTCCAAAATGGAAGAATTTCAAAGGGCTGCGTTTGCTGTGCCGGGACAAGATCCGCCTCAACAATGCCATTTGGAGGGCCTGGTATATCCAGTGTAAGTTCCGGGGACGGATTGGAGCAGAGCAGTGGTAGATCAGCCCAGGTTTCCACATGGGGGAACAGCCTGCGGATCCTGGCCAGTGGCTGGCAAGTTGTGGGTTGGCATGGAAAAAGATTTGCTATGACTTGGAGCTGGCATGCGGCTGTGGGTTGTGTTTGGTTTTGGAAACAACCGAGTGCAAACCTTTCTATTTTGCTTTCCCCCAGCCTTGGCTCCACGGTCTTTAATTCAAGAGACTCACCTCTTGGGAGAAGGAGGAACGGGAGAGAGTTTGCCTAAATTATGGGAGAGGGAGCTGCCGTTCTCGTTGTTAGCCTGACCTGCACCACAAGAGTGTTGGTGTGAGGACGAAGAGAATCACATGGAGGATGGTGGCAGTTTTGATCTTAGAAGAGGACAAAGTGGGATACAAACACAACGGATGGTTGTTGTTTTAAGGGTGGGGGTCAGGAGATTTGGAATCATGAGGAGAACTAGGGGCACATAGCGGTAGGGATTGGGGCTCTTCCCCTCATCCATCCTTCTCCTTCTGCAGATGTGGAGCGCAGAAAGAGCCCTGTCTGTGGATTTGTCACCCCGCTGGATGGCTCTGAGGCAGACGCGCACCGGAAGCCGGAGGTGAGTCTTGTCCCAAAGCTTCCCTGGCAGGACAACTGTGCAGAAAGGAGACCTATTACCTTTTGTGTGTATGTGTGGGGAGGACTACAAGTCCCAGAATATTCCACCCTGTATGGCCACGATGACCCTCTGAAACGGTGTATACGAGAGCAGCAGTGGTATCAGGCAGAGATTTAAGAGGCTACATTTCCCTCTTCTCTGTTTCCCCCCCCAAAAATGATACATATCTCTTTCCAGGGCCCTTTCCCCCTCTTCTGACAGCCAGGAGGAAAATAGCCAAACACACTGGTCTCCAGGCATCTGATTTTTACATCAACCCTCAAAGCAAATTTCCTGTATAGGGGCTGGTTGTGTGAATCTGCTTCTGGAGTTGGGGAATCGGAGGGGTGGGGCAAAGGTCTGAGAACAGAAGGTAGAAAAGCAACAGAAGAGGATTTAGTCTCTTCTGGATCATAGAGGACTAGAGTCTTGGTATATTTCTGTAAACATCCTCTTGATTCTATTTATAAATAACTTTGTATTTCTGTACAAACGCAAGCAAAGTCTAAGTAGAAGTAGGTGCATCTCTGGCTGTACAGCCACTGATTTATCTCAGAGCGTTGAAAAAGTTCCTTTCTTGGGTGACAGTCCCCCCCCAAATCCAAAAGTCTTCCCCATTCATTAATGGTTATTGCATTCCAAAGGCTGGGAAGAGTCAACAGACCATCCTTTTAACACCAGCTTCTATCCAAGACGCATCAAACTGTGTTAGGGTGTGACTACACAGCGAGGGAAATGCGAATTAACTCACTGTGAAGTTGCACCAGGGAATGTGGATTTCCTTGAAGATGTTTGCATTATGTGGCCGCATAATGGAGGAAACGAGAGGAGAGAGGAGGAAATTGGCAGACAGCCAGGAAACTACATAATAAACTGCAAGCAAGGGTCATATGACAATTTCCTCCTCTCGTTTCCTCCTCTCATCCTCTACTTCATTATTTGGAGGATGTGTTGCACCCCAGCCATGGGAGCAGGATTTGATAGGATCCCGAGGAAACAACAGACATGCTCCAGGTTTACTTATACGGAGACAAGTTTATCAAGTAACTTGCACAGGCACCCAATAGCTGGAACAGATGAGAGTGTGGCTCAGAATTTGGCCCAAGACGTCTGAAGCCTCACTGAGTGAAGCAAACCATTTTTATACATTTTTACTGTTTATTCCAATAATTTGCAGCTGGGCAATATATTATTACTTCATTATACTTCGAAGAACGGTAGGAACAAGCATGTGAACTACTCCTATTCAGTGATAAGCTCAGGTATGCATTGCTAAAGTATAACAAGCTCGTTAGCAGCATTTGATAAGACAACATCTGTTGTCTCCAGTGCCATTCATTTCCCAAAACATCATTAAGGCAGCTTGACTGTCCTTTGTTCCTTCTCCAAACTGTGAGAACACTGAAGCAGTTTTGCTTAGCTAAACAAAATGGAAAACAGTCAGCTCCTCTGAATACTAGTTTGAACAAGGGAGACAGCGCTAAAATTAAGCTGTTTTAAAAAGAGAAGTAAACCCCTTATTTGCAAAGGTTGAGCCCTCCGGGATCTGGATCTTTGCCTTTTCCCTGCCCCTCCCAGCTGCTACATCATTGTGCAAACCCCCAGCATCCACTTTCCTGCATCAGTTCAAGTGATCACATTATTTGAACTGATGCCAATGGATCCAGTGGGGAAAAAAGCAGAAGCCCCAATGGGGAAGGAGAAAGCTAGGGAGTTGCAGGAGAATAACTCCAGGCTGATTTTCATTTTCCTCATGGGGTTCAGTGAAAAAAAAATGTACACCAGACTGTCCCAGTCCTGTAGTATTTCCCACATTTTTTCACCCAGTGGAGTTGTATCTTTACATTTTGCCTCTGTTCTTTCTGCTATCTGGAAGCAAACTTTGAGTTCCAGGCCTGGATGTCTGAGGAGGTTTGTATATTTAAGGGAGAAACCAGCATGGCTTCTTTATCTCAGTGGGGTCGGTGTGGGTGGGGTATTTCTGCAGTATTCAAAGCACTCTCACTGTCTCCAGGTTTGAAACAAACACCATAGACAGGAGTCAACCCCATAGACCCTTTAATCTCCTTCTCCAAAAAAATTAACCAACACAGCAGGAAATCAAGCTGAAGCTCTTTAGTGTGAGCCAAAAAATAAATAAATTGGCAAACACGACATGGCATGATGAGGCTTGGCAGCATTTAAATGGGAGGGTTTTGTGGGGTTTTCCCCACCCTGCTTTTTTACCTTGGTTATCTTCCTTCTCAGGCTGTCGTGCTGGAGGGGAACTACTGGAAACGGCGGATCGAGGTGGTGATGAAGGAGTACCACAAGTGGCGGATCTACTATAAGAAGCGGGTCAGGTTTCCTCCACCTCCGCCCTTTGCAGCATCCCCAATCAGGAGGACAGGGGGTGGGTAGGGAGCTGCCCAGATGTCTCCTGGAAATGGTTGCTGGCCTCTGGCCCTGATTAGCCATCACCACCCAGGAATGAGTCCAGTTGCCAGGTCTAAAAGCACTGGCCAAGTCTCAGGGAATTTCTCTGGATGAGGTGAGATCCTTCTCTAGAAAAAATATATATATGGATTTCCATGTGCCTGGAGCCTGTCTATACCTGTTCCCAGCTGGCGCAGCACGAAACTGTATGGGTGCATGTGGCACACTCCTCTAATATTTCAATGAGGAGGAAGGGTTGGAAATCCACGTTGTACGTCTTGTTCTGCTAGACACATGGACACATGTTGTTTTTCCGTGTGTCATGCCAGAGGCTTGCCTGGTGGCATTCCAGGATCCTGCTCCATGATTTATGATCCTAGTCCTGAAACTTTGGAAAATGTGAGTCTGCTCACCTACTGAGAGAGGGAACCTGTAATGTTGCTGGGGCCCATGCAGAATAACATATATCCATGTTTTCCATTAATTCTCTCTGTGATTTGGTAGGACTGTGCCTCCATGTTTTAGGTGCAGAGAGATGCTACTGAATGTAAAGGAGGGCTATAAGATTAGTATTCTCCCAGCCATTGGCAGCTCATGTTTCTCTGAGGGAGATCCGGTGCAATGGGGGTCACCAGAGATGGAGAACATGGCATTTAGTTTGCTACACAAACTTCTCCCTGGCAAGATTTAAGGTTGGGGCACCACTTTTTCCATATTGGGCGCCTGGTTGCCTCCTCTCTTTTCAGCTGATGCAGAAGGAGAGTCTGGGCTTTTATTGGTTGCCTCCTCTCTTTTCAGCTGATGCGGAAGGAGAGTCTGGGCTTTTATGTCCCTCCCAACAGCTCCTAGGCTTGGCCCTTGCCTGACGCCACTGGCTTCCACCCTTTGCTGGCAAGTGGGTGATGCAAGGCACTCGCCAACATTTGATGCAGCCCTTCTGAGTTGGAGGAAGCTAAAAGCCATCTTCAAATTTGAGTTGGACAGGAGCGCCACTTAGTGACGGATATGGTCTCTGTTTTGTGTTCATCACAGCTGGCCTTGATCCCAAATGGGTTAATTTCAGTGTGAACCAGAATGAAATGTTCCGCCCTGTATAACTTCCTTTCTTCTTCTGGATATCTTTTAGGATCCTATACAAGACTCACAAATTGGGTTTCCAAAAAATATTTGGTTTTTTTTCTTTTATTTTTCAAACAAATGCTAGAAAATGTATGGGAGTTATTAACAGAAGTATCGTTTCCAAATCCCACATGGTGCTAGTCCCTCTCTGTTCAGCACTGGTTAAGACTCACCTGGAGTTCTTTGTCCAGTTCTGGACACCACACTTTAAGAAGGATGCTGACAAATTGGAAGAAGTTCAGAGGAGAGCATCAAGGATAATCAGGAGGCTGGAAACCAAGCCCTATAAAAGAACTGGGCATGTTTAGCCTTGAGAAAATAAAATAGAAAGGGATATTATAACACTTTCGAAATACACTTGAAAGGCTGTCATAAAGAGGAGGGGCAGAATTTGTTCTCATCATCCCAGTGTGCAGGACATGCAACAGTGATCTCAAGTCACAGGAAGCCTGATTTTGGTTGAATTTCAGGAAAAACTTCCTAACTGTTAGAGTGGTACAACAACGGAACCCATGATCTTAAGAGGTGCTGAGCGCTCCAACACGGAAGGCATTTGAGATAAACTTAGACAACCACCTATGATCTTAAGAGGTGCTGAGCGCTCCAACATGGGAGGCATTCGAGATAAACTTAGACAACCACCTGTCAGATCTCCTTTGATTCAGATTCCTGCATCGAGCAGGGAGGTTGGACTTGATGGCCTTATAGGCCCCTTCCAATTTCACTATTCTATGATTCTATGATTGCTTGATTTTTTGATCTCCACAAAAGAATTGGAGGTTGTTCATGACTTTGTGTACCTCGGCTCAACCATCTCTGACACCCTCTCTCTAGATGTTGAGTTGGATAAACGCATTGGCAAAGCAGCCACCATGTTCTCTAGACTCACAAAGAGAGTATGGCTCAATAAGAAGCTGACGACACATACGAAGATCCAGGTCTACAGAGCATGTGTCCTAAGCACACTCCTGTACTGCAGTGAGTCCTGGACCCTTCGTGCACGGCAGGAGAGGAAGCTGAACACCTTCCATATGCGTTGCCTCCGACGGATTTTTGGTATCACCTGGCAGGACAAAGTTCCAAACAGTGTAGTCCTAGAACGAGCTGGAATTTTCAGCATGAATACATTACTGAAGCAGCGATGTCTACGTTGGCTCGGGCACGTCGTGAAAATGGCTGATGGTCGGATTCCAAAGGATCTCCTGTATGGAGAATTAGTGCAGGGAAAGCGCCCCAGAGGGAGACCACAACTGCGATACAAGGACATCTGCAAGCGGGATCTGAAGGCCTTAGGAATAGACCTCAACAGATGGGAAAACCTGACATCTGAGCGTTCAGCCTGGAGGCAGGCACTGCATCACGGCCTCTCCCAATTCGAAGAGACCCTTGCCCCGCAGGCCGAGGCAAAGAGGAAGTCACAAAAGCAGCAAAATCAGGGAGCCGGACAGGGGACAGATTGGATTTGTCTTCAGTGTGGAAGGGATTGTCACTCTCGAATTGGCCTTCTCAGCCACACTAGACGCTGTTCCAAGTTCTCCATACAGAGCACATTACCATAGTCTCTCGAGACTGAAGGATGCCTATACTATACTATGATTGCTTATAAAATTTATATTTTCAAGCCCAAGTATGATACATCAGAAATATACTGATATAAATTTAGTGTAAACTTCAAATTATTAAGGAAATAACTCTCAGTTAAATTAGCCACAGTAACAACAAAATTGCAAAAAAACCCACCAAATTCAAAGCATAACTCCCCAAAATTACATCATCATAGGTTTACAAAATAAATTCTTACACACACACACACAAGCAGTCTTTCCCCAGTACTGTACATATCTTCCCTCCTTTTGCTACCCCTCCCAGGCTGTTATTTATATTCCTTTTTATCAGTTCTTATAAACTCATCAATTGCCAGCCAGTTTTACTGTTCTGTTAAATTATTTAAGCTTTGTACCTGCTTTTGAATCTTCTTACAGAAATTTCTGTTAGATTTGCCAGGGTAGCAAATCATGTTGTTGTTGATGGTAAGACTGTCAAGTAGCCACTTAAGCAGCTAAGCTAAGGGGCTGGCCTTTGCTTTGCTTAGTCTGACCTTACACTTGCAGGTTATAGGGAAACACAGCCTCTGCAAGTTAGCAAAGGAGTATATTATTAATATGGATATTTACCACCTCCATCAATATCATCTGCTGGCTTTGCAGATACAGTACATTATAACATTTTAAGCAATACGTATGCGCTAGAATGCGATTTTACAAATATCGTATCCTATCCTATCCATTTGCAATCTTGACGTAGTGTCCGCACAGAGCTGAAGTTTCCTTTGCATGGCTGAAGAGGCAAGCCTGAGGTTGCCTCTCTGTTGGCTGAGATTTTAGAATTAAAAAAAAGTTTTATCTTCAACAACAAAGATGCAAACACTTCTATTTTTTTTAAAAAGCCCATCTTTGGCCTTAATTTTGCATCATGATTTTAGGAATCACTAGAAATGGGGAAGTGCTTAAGAACCACTGGTGAGGGTGATCCTAATTTTGGGTTAGTTGGGGCACTGGCCATCTGATTTTTCTAGCACCCCTTCTGGCCAACAGAGGCATGCAAGCTGTACTTAGGTTTTGCATGGGAAGAGATTGGGTAGCAAATTCTCTGCCACTGGTCACTCCAGCCTTCCCTGTCCAAATTGGCATGAGCCTCCTCTGCCACTACAGATTGTTGTGCCCCTCCATAGGGCTTGAACCTTTACCATGGACCCCCCCATCTCTGCATTATCCCCCAAGAATGCCCACCCACCACTCTGTATTATCCCCCCTAACCAGCCATGTGACCTTAATGTGATGTTGTTTCTCTTACAGCTTCGCAGGTTTAGCCGGGAAGAGGAAGTCACTGGTCCCAAAACAGTGAGTGGCAAAGATGGCCTTTCTTCAGATGGGTTGGCTAGGATCAGGATTGGGCCTCTTGTGGAAGGGTGTAAATGTGCTTGATCACGACAGTTCCTTTCTTCTCCCATTTAGGACGATGACACTTGGAAACCGACAGAGAACTGGTGCAACCAGCTTTTTTCCAACGTGGTCCCGATGCTCCTGCGGGACAAGGAGGAAGAAGCAGAGGGGCGGCAGCTCTTTGATCTGGACAGCTTCCTCTCAGATATCTCAGACACTCTCTTCACCATGACCCAGGGATGCGGACCTCCCCAGCCCTCCCCGGATGAAGGTAAACCTGGCAGCTGGTCTACTTGGCCCTCCCGTACTTTAGATCTTATCAGGGCTTCCTGTGTCTAGTTCTGAGCTGGCCCAGTTTAAAACGGACACGGAGGAGCTGGAATGTGTCTGGAGGAGGGCAGCCAAGATGATGAAGGGCCTGGAAACCAAGCCCAATGAGAAACGGTGGAGGGAGTCGGGTGCATTTTGCCTGGAGAAGAAAAGGCTGAGAGGTGCTAGGACAGCCATCTTCAAATATTTGAAAAGTCTGTCACATGGAAAGTGGAACACGGTTGGTTCCTGCAGCTCCAGAGGACTCAACTCAAACCAGTGTAATCAGATTTCAGTACGACCCCCTTATCTGTAGGATCAGTATCTGCTGATTCATTTATCCACGGTCTAAAAATATTAAAAGAAAAATATATAAAAATATGTGTTTCTAATGATAAAGTCACCAGACCAGGCCGCAAGATGGGGCCAGAGACTATGCTGTGGATAGTGTTTGCTCTTAAAATAGTGTTCCACGTTTTTGAACATCCTCAAGGCACTTGGAACCGATTCCCCCATGGATACAGGGGCCCTAATATACAAGAAAAGAGATTGTGACTAATCTTTAGGAAGAACTGGTTGGCATAAGAACCAGACTCCCTTAGAAGGTGGTGGGCTGTCTTTGCTTGGAGGTTCTTAAACAGCATTTGGATGGCCACTAGTTTGGGACGCTTCGGCTGGAACCTGCCTCATGGCAGGGCTCCATAGCCGTTGGGGTTTACTACAACTCTTGTGCTTTGGGGACAGTGCTTCTATGATCTAGCCAGACCAGGGCAGTCCTCCTCCCTCTGGTTCCCCTTTTGTCTTCCGATGGTGATGAGTGTGCCAGTCAGTCACCTCCAGAAAAACTGTAGCCAAGAATCATAGAATAATGGGAGTTGGAAGAGCCATTGAGTCCATTCCCCTGCTCAAGACAAGAATCCAAATCAAAGGATATCTGCCGGGTAGTTGACCAATTTTCTCTTGAATGCCTCCAGCCTTGGAGCGCTCAGCACCTCCCAAGGCCATGTGTCCCATTGTTGTACTGCTCTAACCGTTTTCCCCCTGATATTCAGCCTAAATCTGGCTTCCTGTAGCTCAAGTCCATTTTTAAGCGTCCTGCACTCTGGGATGATTGAGAACAGATCATGCTACCTCCTCAGTAGGACTACCTTTCAAATATATGAAAAGCGCTATCCTATCTCTCCTCGGTCTTCTTTTCTCTAGACTTTCAAAAGGTGAGATCAGATGGCGAGGACATGCTAGCAGAGCCACAAAAATGGCTTTCTTCCCCCACAACAGGTGTGCAGATTAGTCTTCTGGAGACTACAACTCCCAGGATTGTGGGAGGCAAAGTCTAACGATAGAAATGTGCAATATAAATTTCCCACAGTGACAGACGTGATCCCTATCTGGTAGCCCTGCCTTTGGCTTACCTTCTCCTGTGACCGGTATTCATAGTCAGAACCGTCCTAGTGCTTGGAAAAGTTACTCCTTTCGACGACAACTGCCAGAATCCAGTGGCTTATACTGGCTGGGGGATGATGGGAATTCTAGACTATTTTGTCCAACATCCAATCAGAACCCATGCAAAGCCACTTCCCAAATGTAGAAGAAGATGAGTTAACCTAGCGGCGCCTGCCCATCGAGGTACAAATTCTGCAGAGGCTGGGTGAGAATCAGAAATGTGCGGGACCCTTTCTGAGCTTCGGCTCGTCTCTTTCTCTCTCCCTGCAGCCTATATCGGCAATGCTGACATGATCCAGCCGGATCTGGCCCCACTACAACCCAACCTGGATGATTTCATGGAAATATCTGGTAGGAACCTATTGGGTTGGGGTGGCGAAGGAGGGATGGGAACGAACGGAGAAGAAGATTGGGGGGGGGGAATCATTGAGTGGAGATTGTGGAAGCCTTTCGGATACAGAGATCCCCTGGATTGCTTCTATGTTATCTTTCCTGCTTTGCCATTATTTGAAAGCAGAATTCAAAACTGGGGGTGCCCCAGAAATAGGGATAAGCACTTGGGTTGGGGTGGCGAAGGAGGGATGGGAGCGAATGGAGAAGATGGGGGGGATCATTGAGTGGAGAGATTGTGGAAGCCTTTCGGATACGGAGATCCCCTGAATTGCTTCCATGTTATCTTTCCTGCTTTGCCATTATCTGAAAGCAGAATTCAAAATAACTCCGACTTGACTAATGACTCGGAACCCACCCACCTGCTTCCTTTTTCTCTGGGGGCAAAAAAAGACTCGGAACCCACCCACCTGCTTCCTTTTTCTCTGGGAGGGGGGGAAGCTTATTTTTAATGGGGACTCAGACTTGGGGCTTGAGAGTCGGGACTCAATTCCAAAGACTTGCCCACATTCCTGCCCAGAAATCCTTAAGAGAGCTGTTCGCTCAGGACAGCTAAGTAACATCCTTCCTAGATTTCGCGCCATGATTGCTGGAATCCTGCAGCCAGTCTGGTCCGGTCCCACCTTGGTTTGCAAGATTTGGAGAGCTGGCTTCCAAAAAGTAACTTTCCTAAGGGCTGGTAATTGTTCGTTGTTGTTGTTTTTTAACTCCTTGCCTTCTCAAGCTTACTCACAAGTAAATCCCAATGACTGCGACAGGAGAGGAGAACAAGGATGGGAGGGTTTATGATCCACCCGTCAGTACTGATCTTTCTTATCTAAATTGTGTGGCCATCCAGTTCCTGCTGGAGGAGGAAGATTAAATTACTAATTTCCTAATTACTAATTTCGGCTGTTGTTGTTGTTGGCTTGGCAGCAATGCCAGGCCATTTTAAAAGCAAAAGAAAACAAGGCAACCGGTAAATAAGGCCATCGGAGCTCCAAGGGGGAACAGAAGGTGATTTTGGGGGGAGAGACAAAGGCTCCTATCATTCTTCCTTCCTAAGCCATGATCCCCAGGGGGGAAACTGAGCCAGGTTGAAGCTGTAAGGGGTAAACCTTTAAATTTCCCTCTCTGGAATGTAATGCAGGGAGCTGAATCTGCTTCGCAGAGCATCTTTTACTTAAAAGGGACAAATCCCCCTTAAATGTGGTCCTTTGTTTTGGCTAAACCTCCACTCTGCAAGAGAAATAGCCACGTTTACAGCAAATGGCAAGCGTTTCTAGCCTTTAGGGGTCAGTTGGGCCATTACAAAGAATGTTTGAATTATGTTTTTGACTTAAAAAGTGCCGCTGGAGATTTAGCAACTGGAGGAACATGGCAGAGGTGTGGGGTGTGGGCAGAGAAAGATAAGGGGGGGGACGGGTATGTTTTTACTATAACCTCACAATGGGGACAGAGGAAAGATGGTAGCCGCAAGCTTAGATGGAAGAGAAAATAGCAGCACCCACCCCCTTCTGGCAGTTCCTCTAAGACAGCTTGTGTTTACAGAATGTGAAACTACACCAGGGGCTAGTCAAAGAGAGGAAGGAAAACTTCTAGTCGAGAAAAGGGAAATTTGTGGGGTGGAAGCTGTGAGGGGGGGTTAATGTCAGGGCAGGAGAAGGCCAGAGGCCAGAAGTGCTGAGAAGGACGTGGGGGTGGGAGGAACGACATCTGTCAGTCTCCATTATCCAGGTCTTCTTCTATACTGAGGCTGCCGCCCAAGCTATCTTGCCACCTGAGGCCAAGGGCAAGCTGGCACCTGCTTCGTTCCCCATCTATAAAAAGCCCCCCTGGACGGGCAGCCGTGTCGCCCTTCAACATCAGCAATGGCATCTGCGTCCTTCATGTATGACCCTCTCTGTGATGATGGAAGGGACAGAGAACTCTTCTGGGGTGGGGTGGGGGGTCACAGGGACGGGTGTGAGGGTCTCGGGGTGCAATAGTTGCCTTGCCTGAAGTGCTGGCAATCCAGCCTGTGTGAACTCATGTTCAGCAGATCTTCCCTGGGGATGAAGGAAACATCCTGGCGGGCTGGGTGTGGGCCCCATCCTCTCCCCACCCATGTCAACTTCATGTGACCCGTGCTTAACTAATATAGCTGCCAAGTCCTGGGTGACAAAAGGTTGCCTTGCCTGAAGTGCTGGCAATCCACCCTGTGTGAACTCACGTTCAGCAGATCTTCCCCGGGGACGAAGGAAACATCCTGGCGGGCTGGGTGTGAGCCCCATCCTCTCCCCACCCATGTCAGCTTCATGTGACCCGTGCTTAACTAATAGAGCTGCCAAGTCCTGGGTGATGAAGGGGTGAGGGGCAGCTCTCATGGCGACTGCGGTGGCCTTAAAAGGGGCAAAGGATTTCTGGTGCCCAGACAGAGGGGGCTGTGGGTTGGCCCGATGTCTCCTGTGCTCACCTGTCCTTTGCCCCTCACCCTGTGCCGTTGTGCCCGCCCCATCACAGGGTGAGGTACCTTCTTCCATTCACAACGCATTATTGCTGCATGTCAAGAGCGTGTTGAAATGTTGAGGAGCCATGTCGAAGAAAAACAGGACAACCCGAGCGCTGGACGCAGGTTGCTCGCATCCCGAAAGCTGGGCTTCAGTCCTAAAAAACAGAAGCGGTGTGAATATGAATCAAAAGGGGTCACCTCTGAGTGTGTGCAAAGTTCCGTTCCCCAGCTAAGCAACCCCAACGCGCTGCACCGTGATGGGTCTTAAAGGTTATGTCAGCCCAGCTTTCTAAGCAGGCTTCAGCTTCTGGCCTGTTCCCCTCCGAGTCACAAAAGTGTGACCCCCCCCCCCATGGCAAAGCAAGCGGTCTTTTGGGCTACCTTTTCTGCGTTGGGGAACACCTCCAGGGCGACCTGCCTTCTCTCCAGAGGGACTTGGAAAGCCTCTCTTGGTTTGTCAGGCCAAGGAAAGTGCTGGATCAGCCCCGGGTGGAGAGCTGCTGTTGCAATAGGGTGGGGGTAAGGTCACCACTACCACCCCCACCCTGTCCCTCCAAGTGCCGAGGCTGCTGCCCGAACAAGGAAGCCACTTCCCCCTTTGCCCTGCGAGAGAGAGAGCCTCCAGGAGAAAGAAGTTGTCCTGTTAGGGACTGATGGAAGAGGCTTCCTGATGGCAGGACCGCGACAGCCTCGGGGGGTTCTGGCCGACCCCTGCTGGCCCCACCCTGCAGGTAGGAGAGAAGGCGGCAGGGTGGAGGAAATTTGGGGGGGGGCATCATCTTATTTCAGGCAGCGCTCTCCATCCTGGGCATCATCCCTTTGCATCCCCCGCTTGGTAGCGATGGAAAGAATGCATGCACTCTGCACATGGCTAGGGGCACTCTTCTGGTAGAGAATAAAGCCCTGGTTTGTTCTGAACCCCAAAGTGGAGACCGATGAGAGAGAGAACCTGCCTGGAACTGGAAGCATGTCGGTGTGGCTGAGGCGGGTGACGGAGACAGTCTTTTGCGTTTGAGAAACTGGACGTCGAAGGAATCTCAGGCTTAAGTCTTGACGCTGTCATAGCCCGTGCTTTTTGTTTCTCGCTATATAACGGAAAGAGTTTTGCTTTCTGCGCTTTATATCTTTAAAGGTTTCTTGGACTTTGTTCATTGTTCTTCATGCTTCTTCGTTGGCCACCTTCTTGATCCAAAAAAAAACCCTAATCAAAGGCTGGTTAAGCTGTTTTTCCCTGTTGCAGCAAAAGAGAAACAGAAGTCAAAGTTATGAGATCCAACTGGTTTTTATTTTTCATACTCTTTCGTGTGTATGTGGGTGGCCACGCCACTCTATTCGTCTGAAGAAAGGTGTTTGGAGACATGAACGTTTCGGGAAAATAAGAACTAGTTAGTTTTTCTGTTTCTTCTTGATCCAAGCAATTCCTACATAAACTCTTAAAGGTTGCCAACTCTTGCCTCTAAGGATTTTCCTCCCCTGGTGACGGGTTATCTATAATGTTCATTTCTATCCTCTTTGAGATGGGAGTTCTGCTGTCAAGATGGAGAGGTTTGCAGAGGGAGTGAAGGAAGAATGGGGTTCCCGTATCTTCCAGAGTTTTGTGAATTCAGGCGCTCCCTGGCACACTCTCTTCCTGCTTCTGGTCCGGTGTTACCGAAACCTGTTTGTCTTTCATTGTACCCCACGTTCCCTTCCATGAGGGGGATCTGGTGCTTGGGCAAGGTGTTCCTCAGGTATAGGATTACTTCTGGGAGAGACAGGAGATACATAAATAATATCCCATCTCACGTCAGTCCTCTTTTTCTGCCTTAGGCTTTGATATCTTAAAAGAGCAGAGGAGCAGCTAACAGTGAGAACTATAGCTTTTGTCACCCAAAATCTCACTCTGCAAGCGTTCAAAGGGATTCCGGTCCAGACTGGGAAGGAGCGCCATCCTCCAAAATTTTAGTTGACAGGCTGCCCGGATGTGCTCTTAAAAGCTACCCTTCCCTCATCTGAGGCCATCAAGCGAATGGCAAGGGCAAAGGAGCAGGAGGCAGTGGAAAAGCTGGCAACCCTAACAGAGACTTGTGCCGAAGCCGAGTTTACAGCACTGTAAGGATCTAGCTGGCTCAGAGTGTGTGGGAATTATCCTGGCTGACCACGCTATCCTATTCCGCCCCCCCACCCCGTCTTGTCAAATGATTTTGTCTGAGGATCTTTGGAGAAATGTGCAGTGTCTCATTAGGAACCATTGGCCACGAGCAGGGTCATTAATAAGGTTATGCTAAGGATATGAATTTTCCTCCTAGTGGCTGAGCTACTCCTGTCTCCATTCTGTGCTCATCCCCTTCTGTCCTGGGAGAGTGAAACCCAAGGTTTTTGTGGCTGCGGCCGATGCAAGCCCCTTGCAGAGCTGAAGCCACATGGGGTGCTTGACTTCTACACCCACCTCCCTCTTTTCCTCAGAGTAGGGCTCCCTTAATTGGTGACATTTATTAACATGTGTGGACCC